TTGTGTGCTTTTCAGGGTGCAAATCACATCAAAGCCATTGAAGGTCTTGATCGTTTGGAGCATTTGACAAAGCTTCACCTTAGAGATAATCAAATTGACAAACTGGATGGATTCTCTGAAAACATGAAAAACCTGCAATATTTGAATATGAGGTGAGCTGGGAAWGAGATTGGTAAACAATAGAAGAACATAWACATGTACCTTGGGAAGGGAGGGTTGCAGGGGGTACTCCCCTATATTTGCTCTATGGATATGTGCTGGGGTAGTCTGCGTATAGGGTTTGTCTAAGATAGCGTTACAATTTGGGCCATTTAGTCTGAATAGAGGTAAGTCTTGGCCAGTTTTAGTTCGGAATAAGCTGTCGTACACAAACAACGTAAATTCTGTTTAAACGTTATCAAAATAGGATGTGTAATTCTCAGGTTTAGTCTTGGTCAGTGTACTGTATGAAAAATCGAAATTTTAGGTCTGGGGTTAAAGTCAGGGTTTTGAAGGAATTATGGCGCCAGTTCACGTCCGCCTATATTGGGGACTAGTGACGAATCATGGAAACGAGACCTCAAAGGCCTTCCATCAAGAAATCACTACGAAGATCGTATGTAGGCAGTGTCCAAAAGTTTGAAAGATGTATTGGTATGTTGTTTTTATATGTAATAGGACTCCATGCTGTCCAATTAAGAAATAATTGGACGAGGAAAATTCTGAGGACTGCCAAAAATTGGACGAGGCCGTGGCCGAGTCCAATTTGGCAGTCAGAGGAATTTTTCGAGTCTAATTATTTCTTAATTGGACAGCATGGAGTCTTATTACCTATTAATTATATAGCCACATATTGATCCCAAATAGGTAAAAGCCAACCACCAAAAACCCAATTGAAAACCTGTCCAATTAATTTCTTAATTGGACAGGATTCCAAAATTAACGAAAAATCCAGCWTTTACCTATTTGGGATTAATATGTGGCTGTATAATTAATAACAAAACGCTCTTGCAAGACACCATGGAAGCTCACTATACGGAGGCTGGCCTTTGAGACCTCGTTTTAGTGCTTCGTCCCCAGTGCCCTGGTCGACGACACATCGCGCCATTTTTGAAAGTCGTGAATTGTTTGATATTTAGTTTTCTGACATTCTCATATCATGATGATTTTTTTTCAGGGGAAACAGTGTCTCGGACATCAAAGAGGTCAATAAACTAAAGTGTCTCCCATTACTGAGAGCTCTAGTCCTCATGGGTAAATCTTTGTCTTTTCACTTTATTCATTCATTCAATAATTCATTTATTGCAGCAAAAATCGTTGTACATGTATTGTGACATTGTGGAGTTTTTTCAGTGCGGGATCATTTTTGGGATTTTTTCTGAGACAAAAAAGGAGTGACTCTATAATACCTCATCACTTTCTGGCTAAATAGAAAATTGCATACCGGCTCTTTTAAGAACGACACAAAATTCATGTTATGACGGGGTATTCTAAAGTTTAACCCCCCAAAAAGGAAGCACAAATTAAAATCCCATCGGTCGAGCTTCAAAATAATATTTGAGATCGCGTTTAATCGTTTAATCAATCTGCTAATCTCACTGTATTGTACTGATTCCAGAGAACCCAGTATCAGATGAAGACGACTATCGTATAGAAGTATTGATTACTTTACGAAGACTCGAGAGACTCGACAAAGATGAATACACAGATGACGAGAGACAAGAAGCAGAGGAGGTTGGTTTGTTGTTGTATTTTACTTGGGGAGACTTCATTGTTGCCACGCCCATTAA